ATTTACAATGTAGGGCAGTACACCTGACCGCGGACATGTGTGGGGTGCTCACCCTTTCGGCCGGCCAGATCACGTGCCCTCCCTGTCTCACTGGAAAAATGACGTCATCCCCCTCTACTACTGCTGTCTGTGGAACGATTATCAACTCTGTGACCTTTACATGGAGCAGCGGCCGACTGCAGACTGCAGAAACTACGACGTGCCTGGAATTGGTGAGTGGGTGGGTGGCTGGTTGGTGCTCTTGTGTGGTTTGCTCTTTTCTTCCTACCAAACAAGTAATTGTCGTCCATATTTCTCCTTCCCCCTTTTTGTGTTTGTTATTCTCTTTTAACTTCTGTAATCTTCGTCATTTATTTGACATTATTGTGTTGCAAGTGAAATAAAACGCTTACTAAGACTAAAAAAACCCAACCCCAAAAGAGTCGGTGAATTCACTATTGTTGTTGTTGTTTCTGTTGCTGCTGTTTTTGATGTTGGTGTTGATGTTGTTGTTGTTGTTGCTGTTGTTGTGGATGATGATGATGATGATGATAATAATGATTCTGTTGGTGTTGTTGTTTTTGTTATTGTTGTTGCTGTTTCTGCTAAGGCTGTTGTTGATGCGATTGTTACTGTTACTCTTGTTGTTGATTACATTGTATTTGTTTGGTGATCCATTGGCACTTGGATATGCGTTCTTTCAACAGAAAAAGAAGACTCTTGTCTAACGCACATCTCTGGCACGACTGTCCATAGTTGCTTCTGTTGGTGGTGGTGCTTTTGGTAGCGGTGGTGTTGGTGTTGTGTGTGTTGTAGTCTATCATTCCACAATGTTTGGAGACCCGAAGAGCGTGCTATTGGCCAGGGCCACCGCCGCTCTTGGGAAGCGGTTGAGGCAGTCCAACTTCCCCCTAAAGATGTTGTTTCTATAGTAATTATGATTATGGCATTGCCCTAGAGGAAAGACTTTCAAAGATAACCAGTGTTCTCCTCAACGATGTGTAGACATCCTGTACATTTTGACAATACCCCCAACGCACTGATTTCATCGATATGACCCCGCCCATTCTAATATGGGGTGCCCATTACGGCGGGTGGGGGCCGATCGCCCGACTCGGTCGCCTCAAAAACAAACGCGTTGGTTTTCATGGAGACAGAATCGGGCGATTGGCCCGACCAGCCGATCCCATCCGTTATGGGCACCCCACATAAGCCTCCATGTGACGTCGGTAACCGAGTGGTTAGGCTACTGGGCCCGTTATCGTGAGATTACGGGTTAGGGGAAATCGATCCTCAGCTCGGTCCGACGTTGTTGTGTCCTTGGAAAAGGCACTTGACACGAATTTTCTGTTTGGTTCGGTTCTTTCGGAGGTGGACGTTAAACTAGGAGGTCCTGGAGATTCTAAAGACACAATTCCCACGAAACAAATTCTCATTTCGAAAAACGCACAATGCACACTGTATAAATTTGGCAAAAGAGTCGTGTGTCGGGCGAGTGTCCATATTCCCAACAACAACAACAACAACAACAACAACAACAACAACAACAACAACAAAC